CCCTATAGCAAAAACCTCTCCAAAAAAAAAAAAAAGAATTATTTTATTTAACTTTATTTATTTATTTAAATTTTACTAGAGTGGGAGTGAGTGTGTGAGAGAGAGAAAGAGTGAGAAAGCAAGCCACCAGTTCTGGGACTCAAACCGTAGTTGGCCATGTGGGAGTCCAGGGCCCTTAAACCACTCCACCACCTGCCAGTCCCACAATATTCAGTTTTAAAAGCATTAAGGATTATGTTTTAAATAGTATGCCAGAAGGTGGTGTGGTAGTTAAGGCACTGGATTCTACATGACTGACTCCACAGTTCAAATCCCAGACCTGGTGTCTTGAAAAACACTCTGGGTGCATGTGCATGGATGCCTAAAATCCCAAGAGAATGGAGGAAAAGGAATTGTAGTGTGGCCATTTCCCCCTCCCTTTGTGGGGATGATTTCTTACTTTCTCTCTGTGTGTGTCTCTCTCCATTGAGCACATACACATTGTAGCACAAAAAAATCTAAAAAATCAAAAAAATCAAAAAAATATTCCTCTGGGAGTCTATCCCAGAGATAAAATATTGATTTGCTGGAAAAGTCATGACACAATTTTGCATAGAAAACCATAGAGAGACCAGCAGATGGCAAAATGGTTACATCACTGGGCTTTCACATAGTCAACTGTAGTTTGAGTCCTGGACCCAGTGGCCTAAAACTCATTCCAGGCATGTGCATGCGTGCCCAAAATCCTGAGAAGAGAATGGGGAAAAAGAGATTGCAGTATGGCCAGCTCCCTAGTGAGTGATATCTTGCTTTCTGTCTCTCCATCTCTCTCTATCTTTCCAGCGAGTGCACACACCCTAGAAGAAAACAAACAAACAAAACTCTTTAAAAAAAAAAGAAAAATATATGACATGACTTTTCCAACAAACCAATAAAATATGTAGGGGAATATGCATGATGATGTACATTACAGCATTGTTTATGATAGCAAAAGATTAATATCAAACAAAGCCTCAACAATAAGGGACAATTAAGATAATTGTGACATGGGATATCATTTACCATTTAAGATATGATTAGAGATTATGTGAAAAACCAAGTGAGAAAACAGTAACACTACAGGATCCAGATGAGAAGGCCCCAGGTTTGCATCAGAACCTCCCTCTGTATGTTGAGCATGTGTGCACTCATGCCCATGATCCAGGCAGGCAAAGACTAGATTATGGCATAAGGGTCCTGTTGTGGGTACCTGTCTGTCTGCCTGTCTCTCTCAGTAAATAAACTGTAAAAAAAAAGCTACGGGAAGACATGGAAGGATGCTTTTGTATAATGCCAGATTTAAGAAAAAGATGATATAAAGAAATTTATGCAGATACACACGGTATATCCCCATTCACTACATACCAAATGTTTGCACTCTATGGTAAAATGGAAAGATCTAAAGATATGATAACAGAGAGGATAAGGGGAAATTCCTGAGACCGTAAGGGAGGGAAATAGGGGTAGAGAGTGGGTGGTAGAAAATGAGTTGAAGATGCAAACGGAAAAACATTTGACATGCAAAAGAATATAAAGTCCTCTGCTAAAAAAAAAATTCTGTAATTTTTACTTTATAAAAATTAAAATAAAGTGGGACCAGCAAATAATGTAATGTTTACATCGCTGAACTCCCACATGGCTGACCGCAGTTCAAGTCCTGAACCCAGAGGCTTGAAACTCATACCAGGCATGTGTGTGTATGTGCCCAAAATCCCAAGAGAAGAATGGAGGAGAAGGGATTGTGACATGACTATCCTCCCTTAGGGGGTGATTAATTTCTTTTCTTTTTCTTTTTTCTTTTCTTTTTTTGAGAGGTTTTTGCTATAGGGCGTGTGCGCTCGCCAGAGAGACAGAGAGAGACAGAGAGACAGAAAGTGAGAAATCACCCCCCAGGGGGGATGGCCATGCCACAATCCCTTCTCATCCATTCTCCTCTCAGGATCTTGGGTATGCACGCACATGTGCCCGGCGTGAGTTTTAAGCCACCGAGTCCAGGACGCGAACCGTGGTCAACTACATGGGAGTCCAGAGACATAGCCATCATGCTAACTGCTGATCCCCCCTGATTTCTTGCTTTCTGTCTCTCTCTCTGTGTCTCTGGTGAGTACATGTGCCCTATAGCAAAAATCTCTCTTAAAAAATAAAATAAAATAATGCAGAATTATCACACTATGTAAAAATATATATAATTTAAAAAGTTAAAAAATAATAATTACTTCTTTTGGTATTTTTTTTTTTTGGAGAGGTTTTTGCAGTAGGACACATGCCCTCGCCAGAGAGACAGAGAGACAGAAGGTGAGAAATCACTCCCAAGGGGGGATGGCCATGCTGCAATCCCTTCTCCTCCAGTCTCCTCTTGGGATCTTGGACACACATGCACACACACACGGCGTTAGTTTAAGCCACCTGGTCTGGGATTCGAACCATGGTCAACTACATGGGAGTTCAGCGACCTAGCCATTATGCTAATTGCTGGTCCCAGTATTTTGGTATATTTTAAACTCAAGGGTTTGGAGATTGGTGGTCAAGAAGGCAAGCCATCAGAATTTATAAGAGATAAAATTTTAACTTCCTACTCATAGCCAACTACTAGCCACACTGGAGAATTTGCAGGAAAGCCTTACTCATCCCGGAGGCCTCATAGGTCTGGGACTGGTTAGGCCGTTCTCATACCTGGCACGATATGGCACAGACCACTTCTATCCGAGTAGTAATGGAGAAGCATTTTCCCATCTGCTCCCCACTCCACACGAAATGATGGTGCATTCATCTCCTAATTGAAAGACACAGTACATTTTTCCCAGTGAACACATTGTTTAAATCATTGCTTCTGAAGCTTTGTGAAACAATATACTTATCCATTATGTCACAAAAACTATAACCCAAACCCCTCTCCAAATTGGGTAAAAATGAAAGAACCATGGTTTCAGCTCCTATACATCAGGAATTTTACACATTTTACATTATTCCCAATCCTCTAAACTCCCTGTGGCAAGTATTAACTCCATTTTAAAGAGCAGAAAATTGAGGCTAATTTAATAATAGAACAATATTTGATTCTCCAAAAAAGGGAGTACATGCCATTCTGCTTCTATCAGTACTCCTAGCTGGTAGATACCAGGAAATCTTGATGAGTCTCTGTCAAGCCTGGTCTATGAACAGATGACCATGGGCATTTTTTACTCTCAGAAATGTCAGGCGCTCAGAGAAATTTGCAAGTAGAATTAATTAATCAGGTCATATGAGAGGCCTGGGTTTAGCTCCCAGGTCCACCTGAACAGGCTTAGTGGTCCCACGGGTGCACGGGGATCCAGGCTGACTGGTAGGCTGGGGGAATCATTCAGTGGAGAGCCGCTGTTGGTGGTCTCTCCTTCTTTCTTTCTCACTCCTGAAATATATAAGTAAGCTTTTTAAAAAAGTCAATTTAAACAATTATATTCAATTCCTATTTAGTGAAAGGATAATGCCTGTGGTATCAAGTTATTTTTACAAAATAGAACCCTGAAGGATATATCAGAAGAGATCTCCTTCACTAGGACTAAATGTTGATATTCCAGTAGGCACAATCTCCTGGCAGATGAGATGTACTGTTTTTTTTTTTTTTTTTTTTTTTTTCTTTTCCTGGGGAATCTCTGAGAAAAGCAATTTTCTCTCCTGCTAGATTAGTGGGCAGCTCAGCACTCTGAATGTAAAGCTGTGGTCTGAGTGAAGGAATAGATTAAGATCTTTTAAGATCTTTGTTTTCATCCATGCTGGAGGGTTATTACTTAGGTTACTGGGTTTCTTTGTTTCCCCCAAAATTTATTTTACATTTCCAAAATCGAGAAAGTATATATATATATATCCCTATATATGTGTGTTTACATCTTGACTAAATCTAAAGAAGGCTTGAGGCAGCACATATAAAAAAATAATAAAATAGGGAATTAAAAGCTAACTGTAGGCCCAGGCATGATGGTAGAGGCAGTAGGATGCTTCTGTGTAACACTGCAGTGAATGGATGCCCTGGGGTTTAGGTCTGAGGCCAGCCTGAATGTCCTAGGTGCACCCACAGGTATGCCATGATCTTTGCTGACTGGGCAAGCTGGGAAGATCACTGTGTGAAGACTGCTCACCTGGAGTCATTTCCACCTCTTTCATGAAATAAATAAGTAATCACTTTTAAAAAATTATTTATTCCTTTAAACAAATTACTTATTTAATCCTTCTCAGTTTTTAAACATATGTTATAGGACGTGTGTGCTCACCAAAGGGAGACAGACAGAGAGTGAGAGAAAGAAAACAAGCCACCAGATATGAGATTTGAAGTGTGGTCAGCTGTGTGGGAGTCTAGTGCGTTAAGCACCATACCATCTGCTGGCCCAATAAACTTTTTTTTTAAAGAAATATTTATTTTATTTTATTTGTTCATTCATGTATTTTAATTTAACCAGAGAGAGAAACACATACACACACACACACACACACACACACAGAGAGAAAGTGAGAAAGCAAGCCACCAGGTCCAGGACTTGAACTGTGGTCAGCCATGTGGGAACGTCCAGTGCCTCAACCACCATGCCACCTGCTGGCCCCCAGTAAACATTTTTAAAAGTTAATTTAAAAAATCATATACAAAACCTACCTGGTGAAAACAAAATTAATAAAGAGGGGCTAAAATGAAAATCCAGATGTTCTTTCTACCATCACACCATTTATTCCTTTTTAATCTCTGCTTATATCCAATTCTTTATATAGTGCTAGATACATAGTAGGTACTCAAAAAGTGTTATTAAATTAATAAGTGATAATATGGGGTTTGGAGAGGGGAAATAACCTTTCCAGATTCACATAGTTAGTAATTCGTAGTGGGGGTCAAACCGCATCACAGGCCCATCTGACCTTGTAGCTAGAGCTCTTTCTACTCCCTCCGTACTTGAGTAGCTCATATAATAACAGGACAGCCCCAAGAACTCATTCTACTTGAAGTCAATTAAGATTTCCAAACCTTCAACTCTGTATATAAAAAATGGAGAAAAGAATGCTTTTCCCATTTTATGTCTGTAAGAGTACATAGTGGTTGATGACTCACTTTCACATACAAAATCTCATTTTATCCTTGTGACAATTCTGCAAGGGTGGTTATGAATATTAAATATAGAAATGGTAAAGAAAGAGCCTTGTGCACTATAAAGGTCCCAAAACTAAATATAAACTATTTTATATAAAATAATGAACTGTTATGATATGTGTAAATTCCACTGTGCCTTTTCAATAAAGCATTTGCTTATCTAAAAAAGAAGAGAGAGCTAGGCATTTGAATTTCCAATGGTCTCTATAAATAAGAAAACCAAGGAATGAACTCCAGAAGGACACATCCCAGTAGGGAAATTATTTCCTTAACACCTCAGTCCGTCACTTCGTGGGTTAATCAGAGTTGGATGATTTCCGATTCTGGCTCTCGGCCCTGTCAAGCCTTTCCTTCTGATACATGAATTACACGAATCCGGCTGCATACTCTATTTATCAGCTCCATCTATCCAGGCCAGGAAACCTTAGGAGAGATTTTGCAAATCCACTGAAACCTGACTGTTTTCCAGCCTTTGTTCCCATTGCGATCAGCTTGAAGTTTACTTTCAAACCCACATCAGCTCCTATCTGAATAGGCCAAACTCCATCACAAAGCTGGACCTCTGCCACCTGCCCTTCTTTGATTTTTGTGGTAAAAAGGTATCTGTTTTCCATTTCTTTTGCAAGAGGACTGACTCCTGGACCTACTAACACCAGGTAGCCAGGACTCTACAACATGGGCAGGTGGGTGCAGTTTCCCTGCAACAGCACCTTCGGGGGGAGATGGGGAGATGACCACAGCATTTGCCTTGGGCCCACCAAGACCAGACACAGATGGCCTCACCTGATAAGAGAGAGCCAGGTAACTGTGGAGAGCGTCTAGGTTTTCAATGAACTCTGTGAGATTCCCTCCCAGTGTCCGTAGCATCCTGTCATAGCCAGACATCTTACAGAATTTAAAGAAATATTCTCCGAAGAGTTTCTGAATGGCTTCCATGGAGACACCTGTGGAATCCAAAGCATACCCCCAAGTCAAATTCCCTGTGAAATGCTTGTTCTCCTTTGGGTGATCTTCTTGTATTCCTAAAGGGTTCACATCCTGGCTGCGGGATACATTACTCAGCTACTGTCCAGGCTTTACTTTCCTCAACAGTAAAATGCCAATAATAGCATCAATGTCTTGGGCCATTGTGAGGAAACTAGTGCAGGTTGGCACCAAGTAAGTGGTCATTAAATGTGAGACCTTCCCAATCGCACCCATTTTTCCCATAGGCTCCTGGCAAATGTTCTCCTATAGTCCAGAAGGGGATTCAGAGCTGTTGTACACCCTTCATGGCTAAATCCGGCACCTGGAACAAGTGGCCAGGGTACAGCCCTCAGCGTGTTCTCCTACCACCTCCAAATCTTTAAATGCAAGGACCTCTAACGAATATAAGATTACCTCTGAAAAAGAACTAGTACCGCAATGAAAAAATTCTGCCAAGTTTATATTAGCCCAACTTACCCAAAAGATGATGCCAAATGCCTGCAATGATTTTTCTCTTGCTCTCACAGCTGCACCAGCTCCTGGTCTCTCTCCCTTCACGTTCCAACTTTCACATCACATTCTCATAAAGAGGTTCCGGAATATCCCAGGTCACACTAAATTCCAAGTGCTGCATTTTCCCCTTCCTAACTGCATGGTAATTCTGGGGGGCAGCAACCTCACCCTGCATGTTTTCTGTGCTACACACAAAGCAGGTCATTGAATTCCTGGGAATTCATTTTTTACGTTAGGGAGACTTCTCCCACCTCTCCCTCATATGTCTGTTGGAACAGAGAGCAAGTATTCATTCTATGGAAGAGGTAAGAACATTTTTAAAGAGTATTTTATAGTTCTTGCACTACTCATTAGAGTTATTTTATTTGATGTTTGCCAAAATCTTGAAAGGTAGATAATCTTATCACATCCCTTTTGTTACAGATGAGCCTACTGGGGCTGTCATTTTTGTGAATTGACACCAACACACAGTAGAGACCAGATTTGTAGAAGAGACTCTAATTCTAAACTCAGTGCTTTCTGCACCGTATCCCGCAGCTCTGGAGCAGCGGTGAGAGAAACAAGGGGTCTTCCCAAGGTGAGGGCTGCTTACTGGTAGTCATTGTTCATACGGAAGATAGAGCATCCATCCATGCTGCTGGCCTGGAGCTCCTGGGGGAAATGCTCTATTATTTACAGTGGTTTAGGCACTCATGTAAGTCCTGAGGGCCAGGGAGAAGGGCCAGATTCCCAGGTATATGGGATATCTGAAGGATTCACAATCAACAGGATCATTGACTACATCCTTAAAAATCTCTAGAATGCTCTGGAATTCGCAACAAGAAAAGTTCCAGGTCTCCTGAGCAATGTAGGAGTAAGGGGTAGCAAGGAATCCAAGGGGGAGGTGGGGGGACAGGGACACTTCCTAACCTCTATTAGTTTCCTAAGATGACCTAAACAGAAGTTTCCTTATAGCACATTATGCTCAGCCAGACTGTTGGGTAGATAATTGTTCTGTAATCTGAGCTGGATACAGCCCCCACAGAGCTGATCTGATCTTGTCAGAGGTGAGTTATACATATTTCCCCAAATGTTATTAGCCAGGTTTTCCAAATCTAGACAAAGCTTGGGACAGTAGGGTGGGAGGTGTAACAGCCTGTGTGAATTGCCTCCATTGGGTTCTTTGCTGTGGATCATCCTAGCTGGTGTAGGCAGGCTTGTGTATGCCAGTAATGAGAAACCACCTGCTCACTTCTAAGTGAACTGAAATAAACTCTACTCAATACCCTTCCAATGCTTATGAGTCCCTGAGAGGAGAACTCCAGAAAACACAGTGTGGAATTGCTTCATCTTCTTCTCTCCTTCCACCTCTGTCTGCCCTCTAAATTTAGCTTATTCAGGCTGATTAAAAAGAGAAAAAATAAGAAAACAGCTGTGGTGCGTGGCCTGCAAGCTGGAGTTCTGCACAGGTGCATCCTGTTACCTTCCAGGAAAAGCACAGGTCCCACGGGCCCTCCTGCTCCCAGGGACCCCTTTCGGGAAAACTAGGCTGTCTCTAAGCCAAGCAAGTTATATTCAAGTGAGATGGCCTCCTTGTGTAGAAAGACTGCCTGACTTTCCTTTTAAATCTGTAAACTTAATAAAAAAACCCATGAAGTTGCTTATTCCAGAGCCTGACTATTTTGTTTCTGGGCGCCCAGCTCTGCTAACAGGAAAGGACATCTGGCTGAGAGACTAACAGTTCCTTAAATAAGGAGCTTGGGTTCAGGTGGGGTGTTTTCCATCTGTGCTGGGTTTGTAGCTTCTTCTAGAAGTCTTGGCTAAGAACACTTGTCCAGTGGAGGACAAGTGCTGCTTTTTAAAATCAACATCTGTCTTTTTTTAAAAAAAATACAGTTTTATCTCAGTGTATTTAGGATTCTAAGAGTCCTTTACACAGAGATCCAGGGATACATAGAAAAAGGTAAAGGAGAAAAGAGAAGGGTGCCAGCTGGTGGTGTGGTGGTGAAGGCGGCTGGATCCCACACGGCCAACTGCAGGGTTGGAGTCCCGGACCTGGTAGTAAGAAACACACCAGGGGCACATGTGCATTCATGCCCAAAGTCCCAAGAAGAGAATGGAGGGGAAGGGATTGCAGTGTGGCCACCCCTCCTGAGGGTGATTTCTCACTTTTCCTATAGAGACCTTATAGCAAAACAACACGAAAAAACAAAATTGGAAAATAGTAACAAAATTGCAAGAGGAACTAAACGTAAATCTTAAGTGCTTTAAAATGGTATTCAAGAGTGCTTTATTTTCTCTTTTATGTAAGAAAGAAGAAATAAGGAAATATGCATGTATCTGCTTATTTGTGTGAAGACAAGCAACAGAAGGACAAACCATTGAATACTGAGATGAGTTATCTACAGAATATTGGTGGAAATGTGCAGAAAAAGTAGAAAAAGTATGGAATAGAGGGAAATGATGTTCTCCTTCCATAACTTTTTAAACAGTTCTGGTTTATGGAATCATGTTAATGTTTTATGTGCTTAAAATAAATAAGATCAGTAAGGATAGGGAAAATCATAAGATGGAATACAATCACAAACAAATGAACAGAACAATATTTCAAGAATACAGTTTTGGGAACCAGCAGTTGGCGTAATGGCTATGTCGCTGGACTCCCACATAGTCGACCGCGGTTCGAGTCCCAGACCCGGTGGCTTAAAACTCACGCCGGGCGCGTGTGCGTGCGTGCCCGAGATCCCGAGAGGAGAATGGAGGAGAAGGGATTGCAGCGTGACTATCCCCCCTGGGGTGGTGATTTCTCGCTTTCTGTCTCTATGTCTCTCTCTGTCTGTCTGGCGAGCGCACGCACCCTATAGCGAAAAAGAAAAACCTCTCAAAAAAAGAAAGAATACAGTTTTTAATAATGTAATTATCCAGGAAAAAAAAATCAATAATATGTGTGTGTGTGTGTATATGTGTGTGCATGCTTGCGCACCATAGGGTGCATTTCAGAGAGAGACAGAGAGAGAGAAAGTGAGAGATTATCTCCCATCCCCATCATGACCACGCCACAATTCTATCTCCTCCAGTATCCTTTTGGAATTTTGAGCAAGTGAGTCTCACACCACCGATTCTAGGACTGGGATCATGTAGCCGACATGTGGGATCCAGCACCTTAATCTTCACAGCACCTGCTGGCCTCTAACCCAATAGCATATAAACACAGCATTTAGACTGCTTTATCCTCAAGTGTTTTTTTTTTTTTAAAAAGGATTTTAAAAAACATTTCTAAAGAGAATTTTGCTATAGGTTGTGTACACTTGCCAAGAGAGACAGAAAGCGAGAAATTACCCCCTGGGGGGATAACTATTCTGCAATCCCTTCTCCTCCAATTCTCCTCTGAGAATTTTGGACACATGCACACACTCGCCTAGTGGGAGTTTCAAATAGCCAGGTCCAGGACTCAAACCACAGTCAACCACATGGGAGTCCAGCACCTTAACCACTACACCACCTGCTGGCCCCAAAACAAAAACAATTTTTAATGAATATTTAGCTGTAGTTACGAGGCGTCCTTTTCATACAAGTGTGAATTAGCAATTCTGAAACTACTTCCGAAGCTTTGGAGAATCGAACAGGTCAATACGGCATGTTGTGGACAGTGGATAGTGGAAGCCAGGTTTCTCACTATCTGAGAATAAAGCTATAATTGTGGAAGCAGAAGAATAAAATTATCCCAGTGGTATTGAATTAGAAAATCTAACAAATAAAACCATAAAATCCTTCATGGGGGCAAGGGGAGAGTATATCATCTACTTCCTAGCTCTGTACACTGAGAAGTCCAAAAAGCTGCAACATCCCAGTAGAGAAGAGCTCAACTAGTGTCCAGATTTTGATTTTTAAATGCTGTTCTCCACTGAGAGGTTGTTTTTTGTTTGTTCATTTGTTTTGTTTTGCTTTGTTTTGTTTTTGCTATTGGGCATGTGCACTCGCCAGAAAGACAGAGAATAGACAGAAAGCAAGAAATCACCCCCCAGGGGGGATGGCCATGCTGCAATCCCTTCTCCATTCTCCTCCTGGGACCTTGGGCATGCACACACATGCACCCAGAGTGAGTTTAAGCCACCGGGTCCAGGACTTGTACCATGGTCGACTACATGGGAGTCCAGTGACATAGCCATTATGCCAACTGCTGGTCCCAATGCTGTTCGCCATTGAAAGGAACAAGGGAGAAATGGTAGGTTCCAGGGCTGGAATGGGGAAAAAGTGGCATGAGTCTGTAACATCTTGTAAAGTCAGAAAGTAAAAACATTGATCACAGAATAACGGAAGATGTCAAAAGGACGTAGGGCCAGTTTGGAGAGGCTAACACTAGCCAGCTCTTGAAGAATTTGAGCAAAAAAATAAACAACAAAAGCAAAGAATTACAATTTATGTTTAAAAAATAAGAATCAAGGGTTCACATTGATATAAATAAATAAATGGAGAAGGAGAAATT